TAAAATATCTTCTCCACCCGGAAGGAGCATACAATTTATTATGGCTCAAGACAAGTAGACAAACAATTAATACAAGACAAACGTGAAATGAAGGAGTTCAAAAGTCCAGTAATACAGTTATGTGTGTTCAGAGAGAATAAAGGAAGTCTCTCTGGATGGGGGTAATCAGAGATGTTTCCATAAAGGAGGCGCTATTTGAACTAGACCCTGAATAACGAGCAGACACGTAATAGGCAGAGATTAAATGGGGAATGCCCTTAAGGAGAGGAATTGCATGAATGGGAGGAAAGGAAAAGGTCCCACTTAGGTAAATGAAAGCGTCTACATCAGCTGGAGCATACAGTGTATCTAAGAAAGTTGGAACCTCTAAGAGTGACAAGATAGTGTGAGCTAAAATTTTGGAGCGCTTGAATACATTCCAAATTGAGGGAACTGCTGAGGGGGATTGAACAGAGTAATGGCAATATAAGCCTTGCTTTAAGGAGATGTGTCTGATGTCAATGTTGAAAATGGACTAGAGTGAAGGGAAAAGAAAGCGAAGAACCTAGTTTTTCCTTTCGTGTTTCTTAACTTGTGATTTAAGTGGCTTATAGTAAATAAAATATAAGAAAATGAAGTTAATAAATCTTTATCGATACTAGAATTTGAGATTAGTTAGACAACATTTTTAATAGTCCTTGAGAAAGTATAAGTGTACATGAAGTGAGATGGAATGAAGAGAATCAACACTGGGTACCTGATAGAGGGAGAATTGGCAGATAGCAAAGCTAGATAAGATGTAGAGTGGAAAGTGTCAAGGATAACGACAGTGGCCATGGATTAAGACATTCCTGTGTGGCAGGTACTATGGTAAGAGTTTTACAATTATTATCACTGTGGTGGGTCATGTTTCCCAAAATGGTCACAATACTTCCCATCTCATGTGCCCTTTGCACTATGACCTTGCCATCCTCCCATTAAGAGGTGGAGTTTATTTCCTGTCCTTGAATCTGGTCTGCACCCAATTGCCTATTTTGACCACTAGAATGTAATAGAGATGGTATTGAGTAACTTCCAAGGCTCGGCCCTAAGAGATCTACAGCCCTGGCCTTTGCTTCTTAGAGCAATTCTTCTTGGAACTAGGTGCCATGCTATCTCCACATGGCTGTGTCAAGGGGAGGAAAATTTAGGCTCCTGACAGCCACCAGCATCAACTGCCAGCCATGTGAGTGAGGCCATTTTGGACCTTCCTGCCTTACCAATACCTCCACTGATGAGGAGAAGTACCACCTGATCAATCTACAGACTCATGACAAATAATCACTTGTTTTAAGTCACTACGTTTTGAAGTGGTTAGCGATGCAGGAATAGACAACCTAAGCAATCTTATTTAACTTTTACAACAATATCTTTATTTTACAGATGAGCAAACTGGAGATCAGAGAGGTTAGGCAACTTATCCAATGGCACACAGCTCCTATGTAGAAGGATCTACGATGAATGTTAGCTAAGCAACCTGAGTGACTGAGTGATTTGTAATGCCATTAACTAAACAGAGCCATAATGAGAAAGGCTTAATTTTGAGAAAAAAATCAGACAATTGGTAGTTGTTCTACTTTACAACATGAGGATTTTAAACAAAGCAGAGTAAACTGATAAAGCCTAAGATAAAATTATCCAATAAACATAGTGTAGAAATCTCAGGAAACAGAGGCAGCCGGCCAACCACCTGTCTTACTCGTTGAGGGCTCTAGTGCTCTTTAGAGAAGAGCGATCTTCTTAAGACAGGTTCATAGACTGAAACCAGACAGGAGTATCTCACAACAGATTAGTTCCTCCAGTCCTCACTCCTGCCTGTGAACGCAGGCCATTCTGTCCTTCCTGCCTATCTTGCCTCTATAAACACTTAGAGTGAGTAGAAACCAAGAGCCTGTCCCTGTCCTAGGTGCTGAGGCTATAGCGATGAATGACTCTGTCACTCCCGTTACCGAGGAAGGCACAGCACAGGAAGGTTAATGGGAAGGAAGGCCCGTATGACACGCAGAGACATAAACACCAGGTAGGATACACAGAGGGCTCTGGGGGAGCTGCGGGAGTTCTCCCCGCAATCTCAGCAGGAAATGGGAAGAGAGTTAGTCAAGGAAGGCTTCCCAAAGGTGGTGATGATTAAGTTTAGTCCTCTACGATGAGAAGGAGATCATCTCCTGAAGGGGAGAGGAACAAAGACCACGTGCAAAGGCCTGAACCAGCAAGAGCAGATGGCTCTCTAACAATGATCTCTGACTGTGCTCTCTTTGGAGCGCCACACTGTGTTGTTACTGGGTTGGGGAGAAGGGATAGAAATGGTGAACCCGGAGAAGGAAGCAGAGATCAGAACCAAGGAGGTCTTTCATGCTATGCTCTGTTGACTTTCTCTTAAGGCCAAAGAGAAGCCATTGAATGAGGGGTGTTAAGTTGGGAAGTAACATGATCCTACTTTCCTTTCAGAAAGATCATCCTCAGTATATTGTAGAAAATAGATTTAAAAGAACTACAGGCAGGACACAAGCTAGAAGTAACAGAAATTGAGAAGTTACCAATGATGAGAAAGGAGAGGTCAGTGAGGAAGACGAGAGGTGGCTGGATTCAAGAAACGAAAAGGAGATAAGGGTACTTACGAAGAAGCAGATATGATTTGCTCTCCCAGTGGAAAGTCATTTACAAACCCATAATAAAATAATAAGTTAAGCAACTTATCCAATAAGTTCTAATGACAGTTATGAATTAATATAATTCACCCAGTTCTCCTCAGAATTGGCTTTTAGAATGGTATATAGTAGACAATAATGAATACAATAATTTCTAAAATACACCAGGCACTTACCATATGACAGGACAGTGCTACCAGCTTTACGGAGATTTTCTCACTCAATCTTCGCAACAACCCTGTGAGGTGGGTACAGTTATTATCTCACTTTACATAGAAGCAATGTGAGGCAGTATCAGCCATGTAATCCATTTTCTGGGGGAATCAATAAGCATATACTACTTATTTTGTATGTTCCGGTCATTATGTTAGGGGCTACAGAGGACAAGGAAAAACAATACACGGTATTTGCCCTGGAGATGCTCATACCTAACCGGGAAAATCGAATACTGATAAATGGAAAATTCCACTACAGTGCACTAGGTGCCATCACAGCAGTCTGATCCAAAAACGATGGGAAGATTCTGGAGACAACCATCTTTTACTTTTCCTTTTCTTTCTTTTTTTTTTTTTTTTTTTTTTGAGGAAGATCAGCCCTGAGCTAACATCTGCCAATCCTCCTCTTTTTGCTGAGGAAGACCAGCCCTGAGCTATCATCCATGTCCATCTTCCTCTATATACGTGGGATGCCTACCACAGCATGGTGTGCCAAGCAGTGCCATGTCCACACCCGCCGAGAAGCGGGATGTGCAAACTTAACTGCTGCGCCACCAGGACAACCCCTGGAGACAACCATCTTTAACTGAGTGGGAAACCTCAGCTCAAATGTACCTATCAGCATAAACTCCCGTTGTCAAATACAAGCCAATATCTGGGCTACTGTCTGCAGTTGGGCTGGTTGCACCATGAATAATCTGCCCTAGCCATGAGAGAAAGGGCTACAGAGTGGGTTAGTGAGGCACTTGAGGTAGGGGGACTTCAAGCCAAAATCCACCCCTTGCTCCACTCATCAAACCATGCCTTTAGTGCAGGTCTAGATCTGTCCAAAGAAGGCACCATATAGGCCAATGGCAGCCCTGGCCAATGACATATCTAATGTCCAACAAAGGGAATACCATGATTATTTTATAATTGACTTACCCCTGCTTGCCTTGTTCTTCAAGAAAGACTTCTAGATAGGGTTGAAGGGAGTCACTTCCTCTTCAAACTAAATGCCCTCAAACTAGCTTTTGGTTTTCCAAACCCTAGCCTGGACTTTATACATAATGAGAATAGAGGAGATCAAGGTAATATGATAAGTCAAAGCGTTTTGGAAACCGCAAGGAACTTTTCAGATCTAAGTCCAATGTCTTTAACTTGTGGTCAGTGAACGATAGCAGGATCCAACAGTTGTAGCTGAGACACAGAGGTTTCCAAAGCATTATTAAGAATTCACTGTTATTCACAATCTTACTTCTATCTGCAGGCCATTCCTACCATTAAAACTGCTGTAGGTTTCTATAATCATTATTTTTATTTCCTTACTTGAGTAATAACAATTTCCGAGCGGTAATAAAATTATCATTTTGTTTGCATGTCTCCCAACCATGACCTTAAAAAATACTGTAAATATAATAAAATGACAGCAAATATTTAAATTAGTTCAGCGCTTTTTGTGTTCATGTATACACTCCTTCTTTGAAAGAGAGATTAAAAGAAAGTAAACCATGAAACCTATGAAGCACTGAGCATGGGGTTTTCAGTCCACGGTTCTATTTGTATAGCAAACAATCGTAGGCCCATTATCTGTTAACTGGGGATTTGACCTCTAGACCCTTGAACCCAACTGGAAGGAGTCCAAGAGGCCCCTTTTCAGAAGAGCTGCAATGTGTGAAAATTATTTCCTAACATAAACAAGACCATGGGAAAAGACAGTCTATCTAAGAGGCAGTGGAAGCATTCTGTACTAGCTCAGCTTTATGGCACCTTATTTATTATTAAGGTTACAATGTATATTTTGTAGGCAAATTTTATTGCACTAATTAACTCATTAGCAACCTCTAGAGAGAAGCCAGACTTCTCTGCAGGCTGGTTTGCTGAATTTTAATGACCCAGATAAAGAGTAAATCAGTGTGCCAGGTTCTAGGAAGGCCTTAGGAGTCTACAAACAGCTCTGATTGATTCAGTGTATCATATCATAGGGAAGCGTGAATTGTGGATTAAAATCGAGAAGAATTCCTCAATACATTTACAACACAATAGGTTTGGCTAATTTAAGCAAGCAATGTTTAGGACACTTACGGTAGTCTAATTTAACAGAAAAAAAAATCAGTTAAGATTCAGTCCTCCCACCTCTTCTGAATTGGAGCAGAAGCTACTTTATTCTGGAGTCCACACTAAACAAGCTGGACAGGGGTTCTGAGTGGGCAGGGTGAGGTCAAATGTGGGACAAAGGACGTTGCAGGATAGCTTAGCCTCCAAGGCACTGGCCATTTAATTGACAGTATCGATGTGGTTGATGATATTTTGAATGAAATCCAATGTGGTACTCTGGCCTCCAATGTCTGGAGTATGGACACTTTTATTCTCCACGGATGCCAAGACTGCAGTACGTATGGAAGTGGCATAGGAGTGAAGCTTGAGGTAATCCAGCATAATACAACTCGACAGCAGCATGGCAGTAGGGTTAGCCATATTCTTATTGGCTATATTCTTGCCAGATTGCTTTGAAGCTGTTTCAAACACTGCATATATGTGTCCATAGTTGGCACCAGGCACAAGCCCTGCTCCTCCAACCAACCCTGTGCAGACATTGTTGACAATGTTGCCATAAAGATTGGGCATCACCATGACATCAAACTGCTGGGGGCGGGATACCAGCTGCATGGTAGTGTTATCGACAATCATGCTTTCAAAGGTGAGCTGAGGATAGTGGGAGGCCACCTCCCTACAGCACTGGAGGAAGAGACCATCTCCCAATTTCATGATGTTGGCCTTGTGCACAGCTGTCACTTTCTTGCGCCCCATGTCCTGGGCCAGCTGGAAGGCATATTCAGCAATGCGCAAAGACTTGGCCTTAGTGATGATCTTTAGGCTCTCTATCACTCCTTTCACACTCTCATGCTCCAGGTTGCTGTATTCACCCTCTGTGTTTTCCCGAACAACTAAGATGTCTACGTTCTTGTGCCGGGTCTCCACACCCGGCAGACTCTGAAAATGGATGACACTGGCATAGAGATCTAGCATGGTGCGAAACAGGCTGTTGCGGGATTTGTGAGATGGTGGCAGACTGTGGTCAGTTTCAATGTTGCCCTTCAAGGCCACACGGTTTCGACGGACTGCCATGATGGCATTATGCACGTCCTCTTCGCAAGAAGTGGAGTTAACCTGCACCTCCTCAAAGTCCACAGGCACACACATACGTCTGAACACAGTCTTGACATGCAGCATAAGTTCAGGCCCGATGCCATCCCCAGGAATCATAGTCACAGTGTGCCGCCCACCATACTTGGCTGATGGAGGAATATTGTGTTTAGAAGAAAAGCTCCTCAGGGAGGTTTCACGGCCAAGTAAGATCTCCCAAGAATGGCCAAGAATGGAAGGTCGGAACATGGCCTTCCCAGAGAAACCGGCAGCTGTCAGCATCTTCAGGGCCACGATCAGTACATGGAGATTTATTTAATAGATGTAAAAATATGTGCTCTTCCTCTCACTTTGAACTAGATTCTTTTGGTGGAATTCTAGATCCATAATTCTTGCTGAGGTCACAATTCTCTCTCCTTCCTTGGATTCTATTTTGGAAAGAGGTTCTACTGCAGTGAGAGAGATGGCTAATCAGGAGATATGATGTGTTATATAGTGGAAGACACACTTTGGAATTAGATTATAATTCATTAGGCACATTCAATGTGCTAAGCTCTGTACGATATATGTCTTAAAAAACAGACTTTATATTTTAGAGAAGTTTTAGGTTCACAGCAAAACTGAATGGCAGGTACAGAGATTTCCCATGCACCCCATCCCCCGGATAGGCACAGGCTCCACCACTAACAAAATCCCCCACCAAAGTGGTACATTTGTTACAAGTGATGAGCCTTCATGGATACATCATTATCAACCACACATAGTTTAAATTAGGGTTCATTCCAGGCGTTGTACATTCTACGAGTCTAGACAAACACATAACACCATATATCCATCACTATAGTATCATACAGAGCAGCTGCACAACCCTAAAAATCCTCTCTGCTTTGCCTATTCAACCCTCCCTCTCCGATAACCCCTAGTAACCGCGGATCTTTTGAGTGTCTCCATAGTTCTGCATTTCCCAGAATGTCCTATAGTTTGAATCACACAGTATGGAGACTTTTTAGATTGGCTTCTTTCACTTAGTCATATGCATTTAAGGTTCCTCCATGTGTTTTCATGGCTTCATAGCTCCTTTTAGCACTGAATAAGTTTCCATTTTCTGGATGTACCAGTTTATTTAACCATACAGCTATTGAAGGATATCTTGCTTGTTTCCAAGTTTTGGCAGTTATGAATAGACCTGCCATCAACATCAGTGTGCAGGTTTTGTGTGGACATAAGTTTTCAGCTCATGTGGGTAAATAACACAGAGCACGACTGTTGGCTCCTATGATAAAGTAAGATTAATATTATCAGAAACTGCTCAACTGTCTTCCAAAGTGGCTGTACCATTTTGCATTCCCACCAGCAATGAATGAGAGTTCCTTTTGTTCCACATCCTTGCCAGTATTTGGCATTGTCAGTGTTCTGGATTTTGGCCATTCTAAAAGGCATGCCATGGGATCTCATTGTTGTTCTAATTTGTATTTCCCTGATGACATATGACGTGGAGCACCTTTAATTATGCTTATTAGCCACCTGTATATCTTCTTTGATGAGGTATCTGTTAAGATCTTTGTCTGATTTCTTAACCTGGCAGTTTGTTTTCTTATTGCTGAGTTTTAAGAGTTCTTTGTACATTTTAGGTAATAGTCATTTATCAGATGTGCCTTTTACAAATATTTTCTCCAAATCTGTGGCTTCTCTTCTCATTCTCCTGACATTGTCTTTTGCAGAGCAAAAGATTTTAATTTTCCTTTTACTCAGGTCAAAATAGTTTATAACGTTGTGAAAATTCAGTTGTATATTATTGTCAGTCACCATATAAATGTGTCCCTTTACCTCTTATGCCTACCCCCCAACCCTCTTCCTCTCTAGCAACTACTAATCTGTTATCTTTGTCCAGGTATTGGTTTATCTTCCACATATAAGTGAAATCATACAGTATTGTCTTCCCCTTTCTGGCTTATTTCGCTTAACATAATACACTCAAGGTCCATCCATGTTGTTTCAAATGGGATGATTTTGTCTTTTTTTATGGCCGAGTAGTATTCCATTGTGTATATATGTACCACATCTTCTTTATCCATTCATCACTTGATGGGCACTTGGGTTGCTTCCACATCTTGGCTATTGTGACCAATGCTGCAATGAACATAGGAGTGCATAAGTCTCTTTGAATTGCTGATTTCAGGTTCTTTGGATAAATACCCAGTGGTGGAAGAGCTGGGTCATACAGTATTTCTATATTTAATTTTTTGAGAAATCTCCATACTGTTTTCCATAGTGTCTCCACCAGTTTGCATTCCCACCAGCAGTGGATGAGGGTTCTCTTTTCTCCACATCCTCTCCAACATTTGTTGTTTTTTGTCTTGGTAATTACAGTCATTCTAACAGGTGTAAGGTGATATCTCACTGTAGTTTTGATGTGCATTTCCCCAGTGATTAGTGATGCTGAGCATCTTTTCATGTGCCCATATGTATATCTTATTTGGAAAAATGTCTGTTCATATTCTCTGCTCATTTTTTCATCAGGTCATTTGTTTTTTTTTTGTTATTGACTTATATGAGTTCTTTATCTATTTTGGAGATTAACTCCTTTCCAGATATATGATTTGAAAATATTTTCTCCAAGTTGGTGGGTTATCTTTTAGCTTTGTTTCTGGTTTCCTTTGACTTGCAGAAGCCCTTTAGTCTGATGAAGTTCCATTTGTTTATTTTTTCTTTTGTTTCTCTTGCCCGAGTACACATGGCAGTCGAAAAGATCCTTCTAAGACTGATGCCAAAGAGTGTACTGCCTATATTTTCTTCTCGGAGTTTTACGGTTTCACGTCTTACCTTCAAATCTTTAATCCACTCTGAGTTAATTTTTTGAGTATGGTGAAAGACAATGGTCTACTTTCATTCTTTTGCATGTGACTGTCCAGTTTTCCCAACACTATTTACTGAAGAGACTTTCCTTTCTCTAGTGTATGTTCTTAGCTCCTTTGTCAAAGATTAGCTGTCCATAGACGTGTGGTTTTATTTCTGAGCTTTAAATTCTGTCCCATTGATCTGTGTGTCTCTTTTTGTACCCATGCCATGCTGTTTTGATTACTATGACTTTGTAGTATGTTTTGAAGTCACGGATTGTGATGCATCCAACTTTGTTCTTTTATGTCAAGACTGCTTTAGCTATTTGGGGTCTTTTGTTGCCCCATATGAATTTTAGGATTTTTTGTTCTATTTCCATGAAGAATGTCATTGGCATTCTGATTTGGTTGCATTGAATTTGTAGATTGCTTTAAGGTAGTACAGACATGTTAACTATGTTTATGCTTCGTATCCATGTGCATGGCATATCATTCCATTTCTACATGTCATCATCGATTTCTTTCAATAATGTCTTACAGTTTTCATTGTATATGTCTTTCATCTTCTAGGTTATATTTACTCCCAGACATTTTATTCTTTTTGTTGCAATCGTAAATGGGATTGTATTCTTGATTTCTCTTTCTGATAGTTATTAGAGTACAGAAATGCAACTGATTTTGTAGGTTGATCTTGTAACCCGCAACTTTGCTGTAGTTGTTGATTATTTTATTGAATAGCTTTCCAATGGGTTCTTTAGAGTTTTCTGTATACAAAATCATGTCTTCTGCAAACAGCGAGAGTTTCACTTCTTCATTGCCAATTTGGATAAATTTTATTTCTTTTTCTTACCTAAATTCTCTGGCCAAAATCTCCAGGACTATGTTGAATAAGAGTGGCAAGAGTGGGTACACTTATGCTGTTCCTGTTCTCATAGGGATGACTTTCCACTTTTCCACACTGAGTATGATGTTGGCTGTGGGTTTGTCATACATGGCCTTTATTATGTTGAGGTACTTACATACCCATTTTTTTGAGAGTTTTTAGCATGAATGGATGCTGGATCTTGTCGACTGCTTTCTGTGCATCTATTAAGATGATCATGAGGCTTTTTTTCTCTCATTTTGTTAATGTGGTGTATCACATTGACTGATTTGCAGATGGTGAACCATCCCTGTGACTCTGGTATAAATCTCACTTGGTCATGGTGTATGATGCTTTCAATGTATTGCTGTATTTGGTTTGTCTATATTATATTGAGGATTTTTGAATCTATGTTCATCAGCAATATTGGCCTGTAATTTTCCTTCTTTCTCTTGTCCTTCTCTGGCTTTGAGATCAGGGTCATGTTGGCCTCATAGAATGTGCTAGGAAGGGTTTCGTCTTCTTCAATCTTTTGGAATAGTTTGAGAAGGATAGGTATTAAATCTTCTTTGAATGTTTGGTAGAATTCTCCAGAGAAGCCATCTTGTCCTGGACTTTTGTTTTTTGGGAGGTTTTTGATTACTGTTTCAATCTCTTTACTTGTGATTGGTCTATTCAGATTCTCTTTCTTCTTGATTCAGTTTTGGGAGGTTGTATGAGTCTAAGAATTTATCCATTTCTCCTAGATTGTCCAATTTGTTGGCATATAGTTTTACATAGCATTCTCTTAAAATCCTTTGTATTTCTGTGGTATCCCTTGTAATTTCTCCTCTTTCAGTTCTAATTTTATTTATTTTAGCCTTCTTTTTTTCATAGAGTCTGGCTAATGGTTTGTCAATTTTGTTTATCTTCTCAAAGAATCAGCTCTTTCTTTCCTTGATCCTTGCTACTGTTTTGTGTTTGTTTGTTTTAATTTCACTTATTTCTGCTCTAATTTTTATTATTTCTCTCCTTCTGCTGATTTGGGGCTTTGTTTGTTCTTCTTTTTCTAGTTCTGTTACCTCTAGGTTAAGTTTGCATATTGAGAGTTTTCTTGTTTGTTAAGGTGGGCCTGTATTGTTATGAATTTCCCTCTTAGGACCACTTTTGCTGCATCCCAGATGAGTTGGTATGGTGTATTGTCATTTTCATTTATCTCCAGACAGTTTTTGATTTCCCCTTTAATTTATTCAACGATCCATTGTTTGTTCAGTAGCATTTTGTTTAGTCTCCACATATTTGTGACTATCCCAGCTTTTTTCTTGTAGTTGATTTCTAGTTTCATAGCACTGTGTTCAGAAAAGATGCTTGATATGATTTCAATCTTCTTAAATTTATTGAGGCTTCCCTTGTTTCCCAACATATAATCTATCTTTGAGAATGTTCCATGTGCGCTTGAGAAGAATGTATGTTCTTCTCTTTTGGGATGGAATGTTCTATATGTATACCCATTAAGTCCATCTGATCTAGTTTTTCACTTAAGTCCACCATTTCCTTGTTGACTTTCTGTCTGGATGAACTATCAATTGATGTAAGTGGGGAGTTGAGGTCCCCTAGTACTATCATGTTGCTGTTAA